CGTCGGGGGGGGGGGGGGAGAGGAAAAAAAAAGTATAAATTAACATTTGGAGTGTTTCCCCTTTAATTCAGCTACTTCTAACAGGCTTAACTTAGATTTAAAAATTCATTATTTGGAAGTTAAAAAAAATTTACAGGCAAAACCCGTTAATGGTGTAATTTCAGGTCATTTGTGGAGTTACGCCATCAATAAAGTTGGCCCATCCGGCTGTGCTATTTTGTTGCACGGAATAACATTGCTTCCATCAGCTGACTGTTTACTAAGGCAAGCTGCCTTTCACTGACCACGTGGCGTCTGCAGCATCACACCAAAAATAGACACAAAAGGACAAAGGGGGTTGATGCGGAGGAGAAGAGAGGAAAAGAAGGTGGTGAAACTCAGGTCTTCCTTATTACATAGGGCTAATCTGCTTTTATCCAGTTCTACATGACAGTAAACAACATTGGGCTGCTTGAAATTTCTACATTTTCCTAGATTTTTTTTTTTTTTTTTTTTAAAGGCACCATTCTGCTGCAGCTTTTCTAACCCACCCCTTCATTGCCTGTGGTGCTCCTTGGATACCAAACAAAAAAAAAATTGTGATGCTGAAGGTCACGTGGCCAAGGGGTTCGGGTTTCACAACAAACAGATGTTAAGTGCAGCAGCTGAGGATGTAGGAAGGAAAAAAAAAGTCCCTCAGTTACATCAGTCACATTGAAAGAACAAGGGAAAAAATTTAATAATTTTTTCCCATCATATGAGACCTTATTTTCAGCTTTCTGTTCTCTAAATCAAACCTGACCCTGAAGCTAACATCAAGTCACTTACAGGGAGTGTATTTATCCTATCACTTTAGAATCTGCAATGCGGGATTTCCAGGACATGAGTGGAAAGGGAGGGGAAAGCTACCGCTTTAAGGCCAAAAAAAAAAAAAAAAAAAAAAAAAAAAAAGCCCTGCATATAAAAACTGCATATCCACACATGGAAACATCCGATACTGGCAAACCCTACACGTAAATAGATCGCCCTCTAGGAAAAAGCGCTTTTTCCAAGACAGGGAAACATAAACTGCTGCGTCACTGCCTGGAATCGCTTCTTTCCTACGCAACTGAACACCCCTAAGCTGCCTTGGGTCCAAAGGTTTCCACTACCGATAGACCTGATATGAACCGCTGCGTCACAGGCACTGCTCGCTACTTCGAGGCGCCAGAAACGGGATAAGAAGCGGCTACAGGACATCACCCAGGGAGGAGCGCAGGGTCTGGCCAAACCTGGTGCAGCAGAGCTGCTGTGGGCGGGGAGGGCACGTACCATCAAAGTCAGTATAGACCGTGTCCTTGAGGAGTGCCCCGGACCCGAAGTCGATTAGCTTCAGCTCGCCTGTTCTGAGGTCAACCAGCAGGTTCTCGTCCTTGATGTCCCGGTGCACCACGCCGCAGCCGTAGCAGTGGCGCACTGCCTCCAGGACCTGCCGGAAGAAGCCACGGGCCGTGTCCTCATCAAGTGCGCCCTTCTCCGTGATGAAGTCGAAGAGGTCCTTCACCAGCTCTGGCCGCTCCATGATGATCAGGTAGCCATCGGGCCGCTCGTACCAGTCCAGCAGCTTGATGACCCCCCTGAAGCCAGAGCCCACTTTCTTCAAGAGGACGATCTCCAAGGGCACCATGACACCGCCCTGTGCGGAGAGCAGGGCAGGGGTCAGGC